CCTACTTTGTGCTAAATTCTCTGCTCCCATTCATGAGCAGTCTATGGAAAACACAACAAAGAAATCAACTAAAAACATGATGATAAATATAATGACAGGAACATGCTCATGGTATCATGGGACACCAAAAAGGGACATCAAAATATGTCTGTAGCTATGACATATTTTCGTGCCACGAGACCTTTTGTCTCCCTGCTGGCTGATGTCTTAGACACATTCCTTATTTGCCAATGTGGTGAGTGGAATAAACTATCTAGAGAAACTGTCCTAAAGAATTTTCAAATTCTAAAACCAATTGAAAAGTATTTTTTTTACAGTATTCATCTATTTCCCCCCCCACAATACCATCCTCATACAAAACAAGTCTGTCATTTGACTGTCTCCATAAGGAGCTATGAAGATTTACTCAACATGGCTCTGGAACTTTCCAGACTACATAAGTTCTTGCATATTGGTTGTTCACGGAGACTTTTTCTTCTTAAGCTACTTACTCTCCCTCAGAAAAGATCATTTGCTTAGGCTGGTAACTATTGTTATAAAGAGCAAAGGGTAATTAAGCAACTCAGGGGAGTTGGTCTGGGCATGATGCAAGCCTCACCGCTCTTTCTCTTTCTCTCGATTTTCCACCTTCTGCACGACTGACCTGTGGCTGTCTCGGCTACATGATGCATGGAGTCTGCTTTCATTCAACCACAGTGAGGCCCTTGGAGCTGAATATCTTGCATGTGTCTGTCTTTGCCTTCTCAGAAACATTTTTCTTCACACTCAGAAAATAGCTCATAGATCCTTACTGTCTTGGGCTTGCTTGAAACTTGGTTTCTCTAAAGGATGGTTGGACAAGCAGTCCTTGAATTTACTGACCTCAGAAGTATTGCTTTCCTATGCAAGAATAGTTTAGATTCTAATGTACTTTAAAGTTAAGCCCAGCTGCAGAGAACTGAAATGCATTTCTACCTCATCTCTAAAGGTCTAGCAGAAAAAAAAAAAATCCTAGGCATCAAATACAATATGGGAATCTCAGAAAAGGAAAATATTTAGGTCACAGCTAGGTCTTCTAATAGCATATTTTCAACTGGAAAAATACGAGAAAAAGAAAAAAGAAACAGATCTGTGCTGTGGTCAGAGAGAAACTTAAACTTGATCTTGTTTCTTTTCTCCTGGGGATGCTGGGGTTAGAGTAGGGGGTGAGGAGCAGGTGATGCCTCCTTTTCCAAAATGTTGGAAAAGCATTTCCTACAGGCAGGAGATTGGATATGTTAGTCTTTTGGCAAGAGATCCATGGCCTTTTGTGGTATGGTTTTGGGACAATGTTCTAATGAGGATTCTGGATGACAGGGAGCAGTTATGTTACTAAAACTAGCTCAAGGGAATTGAATTTTTATTTCAAAGATATAGGAGGATGCCAAGAAACCCAAGGTTGGGAGAAAATGTTTCTGGACCTCTTGTGAGTAAGAGTTCAGAACTGGTGATTGATCCACTGTTCACTCCCTCTACCTCTCAAAAGTGCTCATGTCCCAGAATTGGCTTCTTTCTACAAGTGTGGTCAGTCCTCTGGTTTAATCCAATACCTCTTCTGCCTCAGCTTACAGGTGACATGTCAGTTTGGGAAGCTACAAACCTTGTCTCTGCAACATCTAGTGCTTACTGGAAACTATCTCGATGTCTTATTAAGATTGCAGAGAGAAAATCTGGCAGCCCCAAGTCATCTGGCCACGTTGGGCCATATAAATCTTGGACTTCTGGTGTCAAATACACTGATGGTCCTAGAACGCAGGGGCTATCTGTGTTTAATCAACTGTTGTGGGAAAAAGAGTGAGGACCCTCTGATTCACAACATCAGATAACTTCTCTTAGCAGAGGTCCACAGAAAATGCCGTGTTCCCCATCTTCAGAACACTTTGAATAGCAGAACATCCTTTAGTAAGGAACCAGGACCTTTATCCCCAATTATTGAGGAGACTTCGAATTTAAATTTTACTGACAGAGACTCATTTAAAGCAGTTTATACCATAATATGAATGTTAATTACCTTCTATCGGGAAGCAGTCAGTTATTTCTCAATCAATTACTGAGTCTTTACTTGGTCACTATGTTAGATTTTGTGACTAAAAATGAATACTTTTGGTGAGAGAAGGAACAAGTTTCTTTAAATCTCAGTTCTTGCTGGCAGGAAATGCTGGGAGAAGAAAAGGATGTAGAGAGAATATATTAGAATTGGTGAAGAAGACAGCTTATTTCCTATTTAACAATTCAACAGTTTTTTGTCAAACTTCTCCCAGCCTGAAATTAAAAAACTCAAGTCCTAGTTATTGAACAGCTGTCCCAGACAAGGAAGGCAGGGTGCTTACTTCTACAGGAAAATAAAAGGCACTAAATTCAACTCAGCACCTGCCCTCAAAAGACAGCATCAAATGAGAAGAAATTGCTGCTGTTATCCAGGCAGACATCCTTGAAAGCTAGAAGAGAGTTACAAAGTGCAGAGACGGATCAGGTGAAGATTGTGTTGGGCCTAGGGTGCGGCACCAAAGCTGGGTAAATGGTGGTCATCTTTAGAAGGCACCAGTTTGCCTTGTTTGGTTGTAGCTTAGATAGGTGACATCCCACCTTGTAACAGATAGCATAGCACTAGCACCTGCCACTCAGAATTGATACTGGCCTATAGTCCCAGCTACTGGGAAGGCTGAGGTAGTAGAATTGCTTGAGCCCAGTAGTTTGAATCCAGCCTGGGCAATATACTGAGACCACACCCTACCACAAATAATAGTCAAAAGACCTGATAATGTTCCCATTGGAGCAGCATCTGAAGGTCCCTATGGCACCAAGTATCAACACTTAAGTTGAGAGATTATAGGGAGGTGAGGGTCAGGGGATTCCTAGTAGGGTCTTCAACTTTAACAGTTGGTGCTGGTGCTTACAGCTCAATACCTTGGACCGTCTGAAGGAAGGGTAAAAGGCTGGAGACAAGGTCCAGCTTGTGTTGTGGAGGGCCGGAATGCCATGCTCATGATGAGCTCATGGGGGTACCCTTCACTCAGGAAAAAATGGGAGCCATCCATCCCAATGACCTCTCTCAACAAACATCCCTTCCATTCATAACTAGCTAATGCAATTTTAAGAGTTCCAATGCCTAGAGGGGATACTGTTTTGATTAACGATATACCAAACGGTGTCTGCCCTCTGGCAGCTGCAAGTCTAGAAGGAATTGGGGAAGGAGCGCTGTGACCCCCAAAGCATCACAGGACTGGAAAGCTGGCGGGGTGGGGGCGGGGATGACCTCAGTTAACGCCGCCCTACCCTCTCATAGAGGATTAGTGACTCGGCCAAGTTCAAGCAGCTGGGCCCAGCCAGAAACAGACCCCCCTTCCCCGTGGTGGCTGTGGAAGAGGAAGGGAACTCTTGCAAATCAATGGAGTGGCACAGCGGTGAGAGCCGCATCTAAAGGGGAGAAAAATGTAATCCCAGGAACGGGGTTGTCTTTATTATTATTATTATTTTTGTTAGCACGGGTTCGGAGGACTTTTTCTTGCTGAGTTAACTCCCTCCCTCACTGTTTTTTTGGCCTTGCCTGGGGAGGATTCGCGGTGTGGGGGAAGGCGCACGCAACCCTGAGGCTTCTGAGGCTCATCTTCCCGGAGCGGAAGGAAGGAATCAGGCGCCTCCTCCCAGACGCCCCCACGGGCTCCCGTCCGTCCCGAGGCTCCCCTGAGCTCGCCAGGCCCGAGGACTCTGTGGGGCGGGCTCCCGGCCAGGCGCGGTCGGGAAGCCCGCTGATTCCCAGGTTCCGGGCAGTGCGCAGCGCGGGTCCACGGCGGCTCATCCATCTTCGCGGCCCGGCCTGGCAGCGCCGCGCTCTGCTCGGAGGGCACTCGGCAGCAGAGTCCCGCGCTGGGGAGGGGCGAGGGGACCCGCAACCCCCTCCGCGGACCCAGATCGAGCCCGGGAGAGCAAAAGCCGAGCTGGGGCCGGCGCAGGGCCCTGGGCTCCTCTCTGGGCACACACCCTTTACACCACGTTCTCTCAGGGTCTGAGTGGCTCGAGCCTTGCCAATCAGCAGTGCCGTGCACCCCGCTTATTCTGGGGTGCGTTAAATGTCAGGAGAGAGCTGCTCAGATGGGGTCAACAGACGCCTTCTCCCCCTTTTCCCGGAGCCCGCGGGTTGCGCGATAAGCCAACCCCAGCCGGACGCTGCGCTCCTATAAATAGAGCGCGTGTGCCCGCTTCGCGCTCTCCGGGCTGCGCGAGGAACGAGAAAGTTGTGCGCAGGGACCGGGGGAGGGAGGCTGGGCAGGAGAGAACCCTGCTGGACCAGCCACCCTGCATGCTGCGCCCTGCGCCCTGGAACTGATCCCGCGAACCTGCGCTTGTGGTGCCAGGGATCCGGCTAGCCGCTGCCTACCTCCCTACCTCTGAGTGACACGAGGTTTGAGGGAATTTTGGACCAAGCAAAAGTGGGAGTCGCTGGCATCCTGGCCATGAACACAGCCTCGCGTTCTTCTCAGCCTGGGAAACACCTTCTGCCTCCGTAACTCGTCCCTGCCGCAAACCAGACAGGACTGGCACCCACTCCGCTGGGCACCTGCCACGCTTGTGGCTTCCCTGAGTCCCCTCTTTCTGTTCCTGCTCCTTGGTTTACCTGGTGGTGCTTGAGTTTGGGGTGAGAATTTATTATTATTATTTGCTTTGAGGTGTGAATGTGAGGGTTTGGTGACTTTTGGATGTCTAGGAACAAGGGTGGGCGCAGGGGCCCCAGGCAGGGTTGATTCTTGGGCGGAGGAGGGTAGGGTCAGGGGTTCTGCATGAGCTCCTTAAAGGACAAAGGTAACAGAGCCAGCGAGAGAGCTCGAGGGGAGACTCTGACTTCAAGCCACAGAATTGGTGAAAGTGTGCGCGCCGCCGCCGCCGCCGTCGTTCCTGCAGCGCTGTCGACCTAGCCGCCGGCATCTCCCTGAGCACCGGGATCCCGGGATAGGAGGCGACGCGGGCGCGCACCAGCGCCAGCCGGCTGCGGCTGCCCACGCGGCTCACCATGGGCTCCGGGCGCCGGGTGCTGTCCGCGGTGCCGGCAGTGCTGCTGGTCCTCACGCTGCCGGGATTGCCTGTCTGGGCACAGAACGACACGGAGCCCATCGTGCTGGAGGGCAAGTGTCTGGTGGTGTGCGACTCGAACCCGGCCACAGACTCCAAGGGCTCCTCTTCCTCCCCGCTGGGGATATCGGTCCGGGCGGCCAACTCCAAGGTCGCCTTCTCGGCGGTGCGGAGCACCAACCACGAGCCATCCGAGATGAGCAACAAAACGCGCATCATTTACTTCGATCAGGTCAGACCGGGGGGTCGCGGGCACCGAGGGGACGGGTGGTCTCCAGGCACCTCAGTCCGAGGCTGCCTCCCCAGGCTAAGCTGGTCCGATTGGGAATTGGGGGATCCTGCAAGCACCCGCCTTCCCAAATATGCCTGGGTCTGAAACGTCTAACGTCTCTCTTCCTGTCCCTCTCACCAGCCCCGGCTCCCATTCCTTGCGGGCCCCTAAAAGAGGCTACAGCAGCGGTGGGGAAGAGGTTGGGAGCCCAGAGGCGGGCAGCGAGAGCTCAGGGCAAGTTTCGAGCAACAGGTCGGCGGGAGCCGAAGGGAAGCTGGTCCCTGGACATCGAGACCTCTTGGCCGGATCTCGGTCCCCTGGCTCAGACTCTTCTGCAGGTGCCGCTGAGGTTGCTCCCGGGGTACCTTTGCGGAACAGGTTAAATGTTTGATTTGTTTCTCCCAGGTAGAGAAGTTTCTCTCCAAAGAGAGCCCTGGGCCTCCACACTCTCTGCAGAGATCCGGCAGGTGGTCGTGGAGGGCGGGGGCAGGGCCGGGGGTCAGATCTCGCCTGCAGGTTCCGCTGCCAGCCTCTCTATACGCGTGCCAGGCACCGCTGCCACTGCCGCTGCCTCAGAGTAGGCAGCAAGCCCTTCTCTGGTACTTAGAGAAAAGTTGCGGAGGAGGGGAGGAAGAGGAATTTGGCAACCGAGTTGAGCTCCCATAGGGAAGCGCTTGGGAGCTGGTTCTCCCTTTCCTGGCTCCTGTCCTTTCAGAGAATTGCCAATTGCTAGGGAAAGACAGACTTTGAGGTCGAGGGCAGGGGAAGAACTGACGGAAGCTGTAGCTCCTGTGTAGCGACCTGGTGCTCTGTGTTTGGCATGAGGAGAAACCCCAGGATACCAGCTTACCTTTAGCAAGCGGTCTTAAGGAAGAAAACTGTCTTGGGAGTTTTAATTTCATCCCCAACAGTATTGAGAGTCTTTTTAAATTCCAAGTTCACAGTCGAATGCAAAGCTACAATGTGCAGGGGGCACAGGTTAAGTGGTGTTGCAGCATGTGCCAGGGAAAGCACGAGGTGACATCTGTATTCCTTGCTTAATTTTTCCTAAGTAATGCACTCTCCAGCTGGCCAAAGACAGACAATGCCTCTCCAGGGGCTTAGTATTTGATAGCCATAATTTTTAAAGAATTAAGTAGCCCCATTTGGGGGTTTGGTGCAATATTTTCCATCTCGATGGAAATAAAGTCTAGCACCACCCCTACTTTGTATTTCAACACATTAATTAAATGTTGGAATACTGTGGGCATTGCACTCTCCTCTATACAGGGTGCTCTTTTCAATGACCTTTCCATCAATTAGAAGAAGAAAAGGGTTTGTTCTTCTATTCACTGAACCCTGCATCTTAGAGACCAGAAGACACATTTAGTTATAATTCATGATGTACCTGGATGCTCCAATTACAATGTAGAGTCAACATCCAGTTTTATGTGTAGCCAACACTAATCAGCCATTTTCATTATTGCTAATGAATTATGCTACTTGTTTCTGAATCAGGAAGTCACCACTAAGCACCTCAAATTATTTTAATTGTGCTTGAAAAAATGTCTTTGCAAAGCCTCTGTTGGGGATTGTTGCACAGCTGGTGACTTGTTGAAAGACCATCTATCATCAGGTTACAAAAAAAAAATCTACCTGGAAGAAGGTGAAATCTCAGAATGAAATGACACACATACATATGTTTTAAGTTAGGTGTTGAGCCTGATACATCTGCTTGACTGTCACTACATTCTGGTGTGTTGCCCAGAGGTAAGAGTATGTTTTAAGGGAATTATACAAGAGGCTTACAAGTGTGTTAATATTGGCAAGAATGCAGTGTTTGAAAGATAGTAGCAGACTGCCATTGAATTATGAGAAGTATATCTTTTTATGGACAGCTTATTATTTTTGAATGCCACTTATAGGCATATTTCTTGGAAAGAAATGGAAGAAACCCTAGTTATTTTAACATCCATCCCCCATCTCAATCCCTCTTTTTTATAGAAAGAGACTTACCCATGTGATATTGCAAAATTAGCTTAAGAGGTCCACTTATTAAAATTTAGAGTTAATTTTATGATGACTAGAACCAGGCTGAATATTTTGGAATAGAAAATGCATTGTTGCTTTCTTGGGAAACAGTTTCTAATTTCACTTTTGAACCTTGAACTTCAAATACAGAGCAAGTGATTGATAGGAGGTTAATGAGCAGCCCCGGGAGGAACAAGGAAAGCCACCTATTTCATAGTTTATCCTTCTTTTTGCTCTCCTCTTTGGCAGCCCCCAAGGGCTGACTCACTGCCACATTATTATAATTAAAGCCTAGCTGGCACAGGAATGAAAAAAAAATGGCCACAGATCTTAGGAGAGGGCTGGTGGTGGCTCAGAGAAGGGCCAGGCATTCAGATCACTTTGTGTACCAACTGTTCAGTGTCAAGGATTATGTCACACGGTGGAAGGGGTACCCATGTCTCTGTGGTGTGTCCAGGGATGCTGCAGAAAGCTCACAAATGCTGATTGGCTGGCTTGGAGACGTCATCTCTGGACATTTCAAAGGCTTGTAGAGGTGGGAGTGTAAACACATGGCAGATGCCTTTTATCCAACTCTCAAGGTAAAGCTAATATTTATAAGCCCTCAAATGTTAGCTGGATGTTTCCAGAGCCATTGGGCCTTGCTGGAAATTGAGACATGAATACAAAGTAGTTACTTTATTTATTCTTATATCATTTAAAAGACAGAAGAACCTTTCAATATACAAGTCAATTTTCCAAATAAGTTAAGAGGAAAGATATAGAACTAGATGTTTTATTTTCTATGATTTGTTAAGCTAGTTGCCAAGAACGAACAAAGAAAGAAAGAAAAAAAAAGAAAGAGGAAGGAAGGAATGAAGGGAGGAGGGAAAGAAGAAGAGAGGAAGAGAGAGAGAGGAAGAAAATTTATGTTAGTTACAGAAGAAAATATTATAATAACTTATTGTTATTTATTATTTTTATTTGTAGATCCTGGTGAATGTGGGTAATTTTTTCACATTGGAGTCTGTCTTTGTAGCACCGAGAAAAGGAATTTATAGTTTCAGTTTTCACGTGATTAAAGTCTACCAGAGCCAAACTATCCAGGTGTGTAACCCCTGCCATCCATACGCCCAGCCAACTGTGCTTATCTGTAGTGGGTTATGTGTTTAATTATTTATCCAAAGTTGTGTTTACACAAGAGAAATAAACAGCTATCTTTGTCATTTATTTTAGAATACTTAATTTCTAATTTTCTTCTTTTTAACACCCATTAAGGCATGACAAAAAGCATATAGAAAAATAAACAATTGAAGTTTTTACCTTAAAACAATAAATATTTTAAAAAATCTATGGTTTAATAAAAATTCAGTGACACAAATTATTTGTAAGATCATGCTTTTATTTATCTTGTGTACAAAAATTATTTGAACTCGTAGAAAAAAACTTGTAAGACTAGTAGAGCTTTACAAGTGCATACTAAATAAAGAAAACAATCTCACTATTTTTTTAAAATTATGAGATACAGCTAACCAGTAAGAATAAGTCTATGAAGGAGCAACTATTCGACATACTTTTTTAAAAAGGTTGTTCTATGTGTATGCTTGAGTTTATCCTCAGTTACTCTGATGCTAGTGAATTCTTACCAACTGTAATTCCAGTGTTAACAATATATTTGTGTTCTGCTTTCTAAGACAATGGGCTTGACCTTACACTCAAAGGCAGCAGTGGAGTAGTTCCTACAATATTCCAGTATGCTAATACCAAATGACACAAATACATGTGTATGGAATTCTAGGAAAACCTTTTATCTTATGCTCAGTATTTATATTATACATTATGTCAATGTGAATGATAGATTACACCTTTATCTATTAATATTTTCACATATCCTAGTGAATAGCTAATGGATCAGCCTCAGAACTAATTTATTCCATATAACATTTAACCTAAAAAAATCTAGAAAACAAACTTACTTCCATGGAAAAGCTTTTGCCAACCTCCAATATTTAGAAATGTATGCAATGCTTAACATAGTGTAATCAAAATTGTGGTATAGAAAATAGTTAACACAATTTTGAGTTGATTCTAATTATCTATCACTAAAATCTCCAGTAGTAGTGCTGATTATCGTTTTTTCTCTGAGATAGGGTCTTGCTCTTTCACCCAAGCTAGAATGCAGTGGCACAACCATAGCTCACTGCAACCTCAAACCCCTGGGTTCAAGCGATCCTCTTGCTTCAGCCTTTTGAGAAGCTAGGACTACAGGTGTATGTGACCAACCGGGCTAATTTTAAAATTTGTTGTTTTATTTGTTTTAGAGATGGGGGTCCTGCTATGTTGCCCAGGCTGGTCTTGAACTCCTAGCTGCAAGTGCTCCTCCTGCCTCTGTCTCCCAAAGTGTTGTAATTACAGGCGTGGGTCACTATGCCTGGCTTGATGATTGTTTTTAATGCTTGTTTCCTATCAGGGAAAACAGAAAAAGAAATAAACACACACAGACAGATGTATACACACACTTCATTATTTCAAATGATTTTCAGTCGTATGCATGTTGCAGCTGCACAAAAACCTGCAACGATGTTGGTAGGGTTGGGTTGTGTCTGGGTTTCTCAGGTCACTGGGCACAGGGTTTCTTTTATGAATGCACTGGGAAGCCTCAAGCCTGCTTTATTTCCAAAAGATTATTGTTGGGTAGAAGAGGTAAGTAAAGCAGTAAGCTTAATTTATGTGCTGAAGGGAAGCTAGTTTTTACATGTTTAGGTTGCTCCCCATAGATATTATTCTTTTGTAGGAATTTAAGAATATTCCAATGAGGACAAAAAATTTAAAAATCAGTTCAGCAGACATAAGAAGTATGGCCCCCACAATTGGCTAATTTGAAAGGAAGGGAATATATTTCCTGAACATCAGGTATTTTACTGGGCCTGTCATCTAAGACATTATTTATTCTTCCCAGTAGATGTTTTGGCTTTTAAAGAGAACTTTTCAATTATTATTATTTATCTTCTTCTACTAGGTTAACCTGATGTTAAATGGAAAACCAGTAATATCTGCTTTTGCGGGGGACAAAGATGTTACTCGTGAAGCTGCCACTAATGGAGTCCTACTCTACCTAGATAAAGAGGATAAGGTTTACCTAAAACTGGAGAAAGGTAATTTGGTTGGAGGCTGGCAGTATTCCACGTTTTCTGGCTTTCTGGTGTTCCCCCTATAGGATTCAATTTCTCCGTGATGTCTATCCAGGTGAGGGATGACCCACTCCTGAGTTATTGGAAGATTATTTTTTTCATCATTGGATCGATGTCTTTTATTGGTTTCTCATGGGTTGATATGGATTCTAAGGATTCTAGGCCTGTCTGAACCAATACAAAGTTTCACAGATTATTTGTGTGTGTGTGTTTCAGTATATTTGGATTGGGATCCTAAGCAGATAATACCTATGCTTAAATGTAACAGTCAAAAGCTGTCTGCAAGATTTATTCTGAATTTAATTTCCTGGGATTACTGAATGCGTTACAGATGTGGAATTTCATTTGTTTGGTTTCGAAGGACTGGCAACTGGGTCCAAGCATTAGAAAACTCTAAAGTTCTGACTTTGATCAACGGTTAGTGTGATACTGCCAAAGAACTGTATACTGTGTTAATATATTGATTATATTTGTTTTATTCCTTTGGAATTAGTTTGTTTGATTCTCGTAAAAAACTGGGATTTGTTTTCGGTAACTGGCATTGTGTTTTCTCTAAAAATCAGGTAATGAATGGCTTGCCCACAAATGTACCTTGACTATGATATCATCGACATGACTTTTCTCAAAGAAAGAATGCCTCATAGTTGTATTTTAATTATATATGTGAAAGAGTCATATTTTCCAAATTATATTTTCTAATAGGAAGAATAGATCATAAATCTGACAAGGAAAAAGTTGCTTACCCGAAATCTAAGTGTTCAATCCCCAAGCCTCGGCAAAACAGCTCCGCTCTGAGGGAAATCTCATACTTTATTGCTCAACTGTAATTAACATGATTAATAATAACCACTTTATTAAAAACCTAAGGTTTTTTTTTCCTTAGACATGACCACTTTATTAACTGGTGGTGGGATGCTGTTGTTTCTAATTATACCTATTTTTCAAGCCTTCTGTTGTATTTGAAGTATCATCTGGTTTTGCCTTAACTCTTTAAATTGTATATATTTATCTGTTTAGCTAATATTAAATTCAAATATTCCATATCTAAACTTAGTGCAATATCTTATTTTGTCTTTTGTATAGGTCATATGAATTCATAAAATTATTTATGTCTGTTATAGAATAAAGATTAATATATGTTAGTTGAATTGTTTTTTTCTTTCTGTTTTGGAAATATGTATTCTATGTTATTTATTTCCTCTGACTTTGCCTCTGCCTAACCCTTTCTTCCTTCTTCATTCCTTTTTTCTTTCTTTCTCCCTTCTTTCCTTCTGTCATCCTTTGATCCTCTCATTTCTTTTTTCCTGAAGTTTAAGAAAAGCTTTCTGAATTTTTAGGTAATGTCCTCTGAGCTGATATAGGAAATCTTTACTGTGTTTAATTTGTCCAAATGTAGGAATTGCAAGCTTGCCAAAAGAGAATCAATGAACTTAGTAAACTCTTCTTTTGGAAGGGCTGATTGTTTAAAAGTTAAGTTTAAAAGATCCCCTAAAATATTCATACATCTGCTCAGTGTATGAATGAGTGGTGATGAGTTTAAAGACCAATATTTTCATACTGAAGACTTTGAGGAAAAGTTCTGCCCTTTTTTCAACATTAAAAGACAAACAGGAGACCACAGGCCTCTTCTTAGGAAGAATTACTATGACACCTGCCTTGTTTGGAGATTTGGCTCAATTTCCCAGTCTTTAGTCCATAAAAACAATTTTTGGTGGGGCAGTGCGGGGGGCTTTTGTACCTAGTAGCAACAAGCAAGGAGACACATACAGGCACGTCTTCCAGTATAATTGTGTTAATTGCCAAGTCAAACTATTTATGCATCACTGGGAAGACTCTCCTCTTTCCCTGAAAAGAATTATCTGGAGATGCTGGCAACGGATGCTCAATGTTTTACTTGGCAAGTTGTCTTCTGCTGGCTTCATGTCAAAAACCTTTCCTTCTTTGTGATTTTGTAATGTAAAAAAAAATATTGTGCAGAGAGAACAAATAAAGGGGGCATTTTCTAAATGTGAGTGGAATTCTCTTTAAATGTGCCTGCTCTAACATAGACTTCCACCTGGTTTTTTGTGTGCAGAATTTGTATGTCTGCATTGCAACAGGTGAATCCTACTTGAATAAAGACAGTTGGCCTTCCATGTCCGCAGGTTCTGCATCTGAGATTCAACCAATGAATATAAAAAAATTTGGAAAGAACAAATAACGACAATATAGCAGTAAAAATAGCACAAATAAAAACCAACATAGTAGAACAACTGTTTACACAGCAGTACATTGTATTAGGCATTATAAGTAATCTAGAGATGATTTAAAGTATAATTTGTGTAGATTATATGCACATAATACTATGCCATTTTATATAAGGGACTTGAGCATCTGCAGATTTTGGTTCTGGAATGAATTCCCCACACGTACCAAGGGATGACTGTAGACTATCAGTCATTGTTTTGGCAAAATGGCCCAAAAGTATTGGAATTACCAATAGGCCCCTATGATGAGATAGAGAAAGTTAGGTGATTATCAAAATAGATCAATGTAGAAATGTGTTTTATAAACATGATTGTGGCCATCCTTTGGGGCTTGCCCTTTTTAAATTGGTCTTTTCTGAACATAAAAGAAAATTTGCAAAGGGCTTAACTCTAATTCCTAAGATCTAGTCACATATTTTTAAGCACAAAATGCATTTGAAACTTTCAAGAGAACTCATTTGAAAAGGCACTGGGGCTGTGGCTATAAAATGTGGAAGGAAACCTGCCTTAGTGTATCCCAGGTGGAGAGATGAAGTCAGAATGAGAGCCTGAGATACACACCTATGCTGGTTCTAGAAAGTGGGAGCCTCCACTGAACGCAGTGGCTGGAAAAGATAAGATTGAGGGAGAAAACAAAAGCCACAGGGCACAGAAGGGTTTGTTCAGAAAGCATGGATTTTACACAGACATAGGATGGAAACCTACAATGTTTATTTGCCAGCTCTGTGACCTTGGGCAGGTTTCTTCATCTGTCTGAGCTTTAGTTACTTCATTTGTAAACACTAGGTAGTTGGTTTTTACCATGAAGACATGTGAAGGGTGCACAGTAGGAGTTCAATTAAGGGCCTACTGTGATTACCAAAATTTAGTCGAAATAGGCCAAGCAGGAAACAGACCTGCAGGAAGGCATTCAGATTGGCATGAGGAAGGGAAGAAAATTAAGTTTGAGTAGAATACGTTGAAGAGAAGGAGGCAGTGGTGTCAGAAGTATTTCTAGAAATGGAGCCAGATGCTCCCTGTGTATTCCATGACTTGAAAATAGTTTTCAGAAATCGCTAGGTCCACAAAAATGCTAATTGAACACAGTATTTGCATTGGCCCTGTCTGCATTCATCAATGCCAGCACCATCCCTTCCTAGACGGTCCCTACCTCCTTTGACTGTTCCTTGATCTATTGATCAACAAATGCAAGCAATTGTCTATTGCAAGCAGTTTCTTCCTGACAGAAGCTCATGAAAACAAAACTGAAGGAAATAAAGAGCTTGTGCACAGGATATCACTGATCCTAATAGCTTCCCAGAGGCTTTCTATGATCCCAGATTCTGTTAGACCCTGATTATCTAATTAAATCTGTGTTCTAATTTCTTTTTCTCTTTTTTTGACTTAAGGTTGTTTTCCCCTTCCTTTCTGGATAGTTGGATAGCTGCATGTTTTCATTTTGCTTCTTCTTCTTCTTTATTTATTTTTTTTTTGAGGTAGGTTCTTGCTGTGTTTCCCAGGCTGGAGTGAATACGGCTCACTGCACCCTTGACCTCCTGAGCTCAAGAAATCCTCCTGCCTCAGCCTCCCAAGTAGCTGGGACCACAGGGGCAGATTACTACACCCAGCTAATTTTTTTTTTTTTTTAAGATCAGGGTTTTGGTATGTTGTCCAGGCTGGCCTTGAAGTCCTGGGGTCAAGCAATCCTCCTGTGTTGGCCTCCCAAAGTGCTGGGATCATATGCATATTTTCTTTTAGCCTCCACTTTCGAGCAAGTTACTATTTTAACTCTTGATATAAACATCTTCAACTAACATCAATTAAATTATCCTTATAATGTGTCATGCACCTTGCAAGACATGGAGTTCACTGAAGTGGTGACATCTCTCTTTTCTGGATCTCCCTAAATATCAAAGCAGAGCTTGAATCTTCACAAGGAGCAATAGAGGTCCAAATGTATGGTTTCACCTCCCCTTCTGAGGGAAGGCACTAGGCTTTATCAATTCATCTTTACTGTTTAAGCCACCTGTCCATTGGGTATAGCAGAGTCCCCAAATTGGTTGATCTAATGACGTCAGAAGTAATGGAAACAAAGAAGGGTAAAAGCATATAATAGCTGTTCACATTCAGAGCTGTGGAGCTAACAACATTGAACTGTCGAAAATGGTTTGATAGAAGGTTGAGATTTAAGAAGCTGGCTTCTCGGTAGGTTACTCTCTCTCTTCTAATATAGGTCTGCCTTTAACACAGGTTTCAAATATTTGAGAATCAAAATGGTGCCCTTTTTTTGTGCCACTTCTGACCTTTCTGATAGAAAACAATTTCTCTGTGAATTTTACTCTGAAGTTCTGCTGTGTCAGCTTTTTAAGTGAATATGCCTAAGAATCATCTGGGAATCTTGATAAAATGCAGATGCTGGTGCGATAGGTGTGGGGAGGAACCTGAGAGCCTGCATTTCTAATGAGATCTCAGGTGCCATTGTGCTGCTGACCTGGGTCCCACACGTTCAATAGGAAGGACTTCCATCCCTGTTCCTTAAACCTTGTTACTTAAAGTGTGATCTGTGGCAGGTAGCATCCACATTACCTAAGGACTTGTGAGCAACCTCAGGTAGAGTGTAGACTCACTGAGACCTACTGAAATGGAATCTGCATTTAACAAGATATTCTTCTCTCCCTATGATTCTTAGGCACTGTGAAGTTCAGAAAGCTTTTTTTTTTTTTTTTTTTTTTTTTTTTGAGATGGAGTCTCACTCTGTAACCTAGGCTAGAATGCAGATCTCAGCTCGTTGCAACCTCCACCTCTCAGTTCAGTTCAAGCAATTCTCCTGCCTCAGCCTCCGGAGTAGCTGGAATTATAGGCACATGCCACCATGCCCAGCTAATTTTTGTATTTTTAGTAGAGACGGGGTTTCACCATGTTGGCCAGGCTGGTCTTGAACTCCTGACCTTGTAATCCACCTGCCTCGGCCTCCTAAAGTGCTGGGATTACTGGCATGAGCCACTGCACCTGGTCAAGCTTTGTCTTTAAGTAAAACCCAAAGACTACCACCTGCATCAGAATCACCTGTGCTGGGCTTCAGGAAGCCAGCTAAAGTTTAACAAAATCTCCAGGTGATTGTTATAACCTAAATCTAGGCAGATGTACTGCGTTTTCTTTGCAGTGACCCAGGAATACAAGTTCTTCTATTTTCTATCCTATTTTAAACTCACCCAGCCAAAGACAATTAGCTGGAGGCTTTAATGCAGGTAAGCACGAATTTTTGTTGTTATTCTGTGGTTAGAAAAGGATCTAGGGAAGCTTGCCAGTGTGTGCAGAGGACAGACTGCAGGAAGACTACCTACAGAAAAGATGTGGGAAACGCTTGCATGGAAACACAGGTAAGTCACTCACAGAAAGTGGCCGTCTTGTGAAGAAAGAAAATCCTTAGTGACATTCCTCATTTTGTCAGCCTTTGTTCTGAAATAATGATTCAGGTATATTTTGCTTTTCTTTGTAATTGAAGTGCTCCTCCTCCAGGGATTGCAATACCTTTATCTTAGTACACTTGGCATTTGGCTTCAGAAGACATTGCTCAGTTGACAAAAGGGTGTGTGCGTGTGTGTGTGTGTGTGAGAGAGAGAGAGAGGGAGAGAATATATTTAGAAGGATCGATGACACCAGCAATTTCTAGGCGGCCAGTCTGTATGTTTAAAATTCATCCAAGGGCAGAAGCCTTTCTTAATATTTTTTAGGACAATTGGTGATATTTATAATGAGAAAATGCATTGTCATAGGTACATTGCCATAAGGTGGTTTTTATATCCCATGAGGTTACCTTTAGAACATTAGTTTTGACCTTCTGACTTTCCAAGAACTGGAGGTTTTGAGGAAACCATAGAGGACACAAGTCTGGTCATTTCCAGGGAAGTTGAGGGACTCCTGCCAACAAATGCTTTTATGCTCATAGTTTGGAGTAAGGGAAGCAAGTTTTGTCTCTCTCTCTCTTTCTCTTTCTGTTTTTCTATTTTTGCCATATTTCAGCTTTGATGTCAATGTATAATCAATAAATAGAGGAAAATGTGGGGAAATTAATGCAGCTTGGGTGATTCTTTTCACAATCCTTTTTAAAAGAATCTTTAGGACAAATGGAAAAACTGGCTTAAAACGATCTGTCCACCCAGTGGAATCATTTTATGGTTTTCTTTCATAGCATTACAGAGAGAGGGAAAAATGAAAAAGCAAGAAGCAGATAGAGAACCCACATTGGGGTGGAAATATGGTGAGGTCTGTGCACCCAATAGGGTTAAAAATGGTTAACTTGAAAACAGATTGCGATGTGCGTGAAGACGGTCGTCCAATAACAAGGCTGTATTGTCCTGCTCACAGGGTCAACGCTCAGAAACGAGGATTGCTTGACATTGGCCAGGCAATCGAAGAAATGCGTCTTCAGGTCAGAAAACATCTTTAGGCCCTTAGTCATACAAAAATCCTCTTTATCTTATGCTCTGTAGTCTGCAGTTTTGACCAGATAATTACCGTTTGATCAATAGTGATGGCCAATCTGAATGATTCAGCTCTCAGGATGGAGTCAGGGGACTTTTGTTATTTTCTATATTTCCACAAATGGATCCACCTTCCTTTTTTGAGTGTCATGTGAGGCTGTTTTCTTCTGTTTCTTTAACTTCAATATTCAAATTTACATCAACAGTCACAAGTGATTCTTTTAAACAGCTTTTACTTTGAGTGTTAGCATTTTTAACATCACAGTGAAAAACTGCCATGATTTGTTTTCCTTCCATG